AAGGGCATGGCAGGTGCCTCGTTCATCAAGGCCATGGCAGGTGCCTCGTGCATCAAGGGCAAGGCAGGTGCCTCGTTCATCAAAGGCATGGCAGGTGCCTCGTTCATCAAGGGCATGGCAGGTGCCTCGTGCATCAAGGGCATGGCAGGTGCCTCGTTCATCAAGGGCAAGGCAGGTGCCTCGTTCATCAAGGGCAAGGCAGGTGCCTCGTTCATCAAGGGCAAGGCAGGTGCCTCGTTCATCAAGAGCAAGGAAGGTGCCTCGTTCATCAAGAGCAAGGCAGGTGCCTCGTTTATCAAGGGCAAGGCATGTGCCTCGTTCATCAAGGGCAAGGCAGGTGCCTCGTGCATCAAGAGCAAGGCAGGTGCCTCGTTTATCAAGGGCAAGGCAGGTGCGTCGTTCATCAAGAGCAAGGCAGGTGCCTCATGCATCTAGGGCATGGCAGGTGCCTTGTTCATCAAGGGCATGGCAGGTTTTTCGTTCATCAAGGGCATGGCAGGTGCCTCGTTCATCAAGGGCATGGCAGGTGCCTTGTTCATCAAGGGCATGGCAGGTGCCTCGTTCATCAAGGGCATGGCAGGTGCCTCGTTCATCAAGGGCAAGGCAGGTGCCTCGTGCATCAAGGGCATGGCAGGTGCCTCGTTCATCAAGGGCATGGCAGGTGCCTTGTTCATCAAGGGCATGGCAGGTGCCTCGTTCATCAAGGGCATGGCAGGTGCCTCGTTCATCAAGGGCAAGGCAGGTGCCTCGTGCATCAAGGGCATGGCAGGTGCCTCGTTCATCAAGGGCATGGCAGGTGCCTCGTTCATCAAGGGCATAGCAGGTGCCTCGTTCATCAAGGGTAAGGCAGGTGCCTCGTGCATCAAGGGCATGGCAGGTGCCTCGTGCATCAAGGGCATGGCAGGTGCCTCGTTCATCAAGGGCAAGGCAAGTGCCTCGTTCATCAAGGGCATGGCAGGTGCCTTGTTCATCAAGAGCAAGGAAGGTGCCTCGTTCATCAAGGGCAAGGCAGGTGCCTCGTTCATCAAGAGCAAGGAAGGTGCCTCGTTCATCAAGAGCAAGGCAGGTGCCTCGTTTATCAAGGGCAAGGCATGTGCCTCGTTCATCAAGGGCAAGGCAGGTGCCTCGTGCATCAAGAGCAAGGCAGGTGCCTCGTTTATCAAGGGCAAGGCAGGTGCGTCGTTCATCAAGAGCAAGGCAGGTGCCTCATGCATCTAGGGCATGGCAGGTGCCTTGTTCATCAAGGGCATGGCAGGTTTTTCGTTCATCAAGGGCATGGCAGGTGCCTCGTTCATCAAGGGCATGGCAGGTGCCTTGTTCATCAAGGGCATGGCAGGTGCCTCGTTCATCAAGGGCATGGCAGGTGCCTCGTTCATCAAGGGCAAGGCAGGTGCCTCGTGCATCAAGGGCATGGCAGGTGCCTCGTTCATCAAGGGCATGGCAGGTGCCTCGTTCATCAAGGGCATAGCAGGTGCCTCGTTCATCAAGGGTAAGGCAGGTGCCTCGTGCATCAAGGGCATGGCAGGTGCCTCGTGCATCAAGGGCATGGCAGGTGCCTCGTTCATCAAGGGCAAGGCAAGTGCCTCGTTCATCAAGGGCTAGGCAGGTGTCTCGTGCATCAAGGGCATGGCAGGTGCCTCGTTCATCAAGGGCATGGCAGGTTTCTCGTTCATCAAGGGCATGGCAGGTGCCTCGTTCATCAAGGGCAAGGCAGGTGCCTCGTTCATCAAGGGCAAGGCAGGTGCCTCGTTCATCAAGAGCAAGGCAGGTGCTCATGCATCTAGGGCATGGCAGTTGCCTTGTTCATAAAGGGCATGGCAGGTTTATCGTTCATCAAGGGCATGGCAGGTGCCTCGTTCATCAAGGGCATGGCAGGTGCCTCGTTCATCAAGGGCATGGCAGGTGCCTCGTTCATCAAGGGCAAGGCAGGTGCCTCGTGCATCAAGGGCATGGCAGGTGCCTCGTTCATCAAGGGCAAGGCAGGTGCCTCGTTCATCAAGGGCATGGCAGGTGCCTCGTTCATCAAGGGCAAGGCAGGTGCTTCGTTCATCAAGGACAAGGCAGGTGGCTCGTTCATCAAGGGCATGGCAGGTGCCTCGTTCATCAAGGGCAAGGCAGGTGCCTCGTTCATCAAGGGAATGGCAGGTGCCTCGTGCATCAAGGGCATTGCAGGTGCCTCGTTCATCAAGGGCAAGGAAGGTGCCTCGTTCATCAAGGGCAAGGCAGGTGCCTCGTTCATCAAAGGCATGGCAGGTGACTTGTTCATCAAGGGCAAGGCAGGTGCCTCGTTCATCAAGGGCATGGCAGGTACATCGTGCATCAAGGGCAAGGCAGGTGCCTTGTTCATCAAGGGCATGGCAGGTGCCTCGATCATCAAGGGCAAGGAAGGTGCCTCGTTCATCAAGGGCAAGGCAGGTGCCTCATGCATCAAGGGCATGGCAGGTGCCTTGTTCATAAAGGGCAAGGCAGGTGCCTCGTTCATCAAGGGCATGGCAGGTGCCTCGTGCATCAAGGGCATGGCAGGTGCCTCGTTCATCAAGGGTAAGTAAGGTGCCTCGTGCATCAAGGGCATGGTAGGTGCCTCGTTCATCAAGGGCAAGGCAGGTGCCTCGTTCATCAAGGGCAAGGCTGTTGCCTCGTTCATCAAGGGCATGGCAGGTGCCTCGTTCATCAAGGGCAAGGCAGGTGTCTCGTGCATCAAGGGCATGGCAGGTGCCTCGTTCATAAAGGGCATGGCAGGTGCCTCGTTCATCAAGGGCAAGGCTGTTGCCTCGTTCATCAAGGGCAAGGCAGGTGCCTCGTGCATAAAGGGCATGGCAGGTGCCTCGTTCATCAAGGGCATGGCAGGTTCCTCGTTCATCAAGGGCATGGCAGGTGCCTCGTGCATCAAGGGCAAGGCAGGTGCCTCGTGCATCAAGGGCAGGGCAGGTGCCTCGTTCATCAAGGGCATGGCAGGTGCCTCGTTCATCAAGGGCATGGCAGGTGCCTCGTTCATCAAGGGCAAGGCAGGTGCCTCGTTCATCAAGGGCAAGGCAGGTGCCTCGTGCATCAAGGGCATGGCAGGTGCCTCGTTCATCAAGGGCAAGGCAGGTGCCTCGTTCATCAAGGGCAAGGCTGTTGCCTCGTTCATCAAGGGCATGGCAGGTGCCTCGTTCATCAAGGGCAAGGCAGGTGCCTCGTTCATCAATGGTAAGGCAGGTGCCTCGTGCATCAAGGGCAAGGCTGTTGCCTCGTTCATCAAGGGCATGGCAGGTGCCTCGTGCATCAAGGGCAAGGCAGGTGCCTCGTTCATCAAGGGCATGGCAGGTGCCTCGTGCATCAAGGGCATGGCAGGTGCCTCGTTCATCAAGGGCATGGCAGGTGCCTCGTTCATCAAGGGCATAGCAGGTGCCTCGTTCATCAAGGGTAAGGCAGGTGCCTCGTGCATCAAGGGCATGGCAGGTGCCTCGTGCATCAAGGGCATGGCAGGTGCCTCGTTCATCAAGGGCAAGGCAAGTGCCTCGTTCATCAAGGGCTAGGCAGGTGTCTCGTGCATCAAGAGCATGGCAGGTGCCTCGTTCATCAAGGGCATGGCAGGTGCCTTGTTCATCAAGGGCAAGGCTGTTGCCTCGTTCATCAAGGGCAAGGCAGGTGCCTCGTTCATCAAGGGCAAGGCAGGTGCCTCGTTCATCAAGGGCAAGGCAGGTGCCTCGTGCATCAAGGGCATGGCAGGTGCCTCGTTCATCAAGGGCATGGCAGGTGCCTCGTTCATCAAGGGCATGGCAGGTGCCTCGTGCATCAAGGGCAAGGCAGGTGCCTCGTGCATCAAGGGAAGGGCAGGTGCCTCGTTCATCAAGGGCATGGCAGGTGCCTCGTTCATCAAGGGCATGGCAGGTGCCTCGTTCATCAAGGGTAAGGCAGGTGCCTCGTGCATCAAGGGCATGGTAGGTGCCTCGTTCATCAAGGGCAAAGCAGGTGCCTCGTTCATCAAGGGCAAGGCTGTTGCCTCGTTCATCAAGGGCATGGCAGGTGCCTCGTTCATCAAGGGCAAGGCAGGTGTCTCGTGCATCAAGGGCATGGCAGGTGCCTCGTTCATAAAGGGCACGGCAGGTGCCTCGTTCATCAAGGGCAAGGCTGTTGCCTCGTTCATCAAGGGCAAGGCAGGTGCCTCGTGCATAAAGGACATGGCAGGTGCCTCGTTCATCAAGGGCATGGCAGGTTCCTCGTTCATCAAGGGCATGGCAGGTGCCTCGTGCATCAAGGGCAAGGCAGGTGCCTCGTGCATCAAGGGCAGGGCAGGTGCCTCGTTCATCAAGGGCATGGCAGGTGCCTCGTTCATCAAGGGCATGACAGGTGCCTCGTTCATCAAGGGCAAGGCAGGTGCCTCGTTCATCAAGGGCAAGGCAGGTGCCTCGTTCATCAAGGGCAAGGCAGGTGCCTCGTTCATCAAGAGCAAGGAAGGTGCCTCGTTCATCAAGAGCAAGGCAGGTGCCTCGTTTATCAAGGGCAAGGCATGTGCCTCGTTCATCAAGGGCAAGGCAGGTGCCTCGTGCATCAAGAGCAAGGCAGGTGCCTCGTTTATCAAGGGCAAGGCAGGTGCGTCGTTCATCAAGAGCAAGGCAGGTGCCTCATGCATCTAGGGCATGGCAGGTGCCTTGTTCATCAAGGGCATGGCAGGTTTTTCGTTCATCAAGGGCATGGCAGGTGCCTCGTTCATCAAGGGCATGGCAGGTGCCTTGTTCATCAAGGGCATGGCAGGTGCCTCGTTCATCAAGGGCATGGCAGGTGCCTCGTTCATCAAGGGCAAGGCAGGTGCCTCGTGCATCAAGGGCATGGCAGGTGCCTCGTTCATCAAGGGCATGGCAGGTGCCTCGTTCATCAAGGGCATAGCAGGTGCCTCGTTCATCAAGGGTAAGGCAGGTGCCTCGTGCATCAAGGGCATGGCAGGTGCCTCGTGCATCAAGGGCATGGCAGGTGCCTCGTTCATCAAGGGCAAGGCAAGTGCCTCGTTCATCAAGGGCATGGCAGGTGCCTTGTTCATCAAGAGCAAGGAAGGTGCCTCGTTCATCAAGGGCAAGGCAGGTGCCTCGTTCATCAAGAGCAAGGAAGGTGCCTCGTTCATCAAGAGCAAGGCAGGTGCCTCGTTTATCAAGGGCAAGGCATGTGCCTCGTTCATCAAGGGCAAGGCAGGTGCCTCGTGCATCAAGAGCAAGGCAGGTGCCTCGTTTATCAAGGGCAAGGCAGGTGCGTCGTTCATCAAGAGCAAGGCAGGTGCCTCATGCATCTAGGGCATGGCAGGTGCCTTGTTCATCAAGGGCATGGCAGGTTTTTCGTTCATCAAGGGCATGGCAGGTGCCTCGTTCATCAAGGGCATGGCAGGTGCCTTGTTCATCAAGGGCATGGCAGGTGCCTCGTTCATCAAGGGCATGGCAGGTGCCTCGTTCATCAAGGGCAAGGCAGGTGCCTCGTGCATCAAGGGCATGGCAGGTGCCTCGTTCATCAAGGGCATGGCAGGTGCCTCGTTCATCAAGGGCATAGCAGGTGCCTCGTTCATCAAGGGTAAGGCAGGTGCCTCGTGCATCAAGGGCATGGCAGGTGCCTCGTGCATCAAGGGCATGGCAGGTGCCTCGTTCATCAAGGGCAAGGCAAGTGCCTCGTTCATCAAGGGCTAGGCAGGTGTCTCGTGCATCAAGGGCATGGCAGGTGCCTCGTTCATCAAGGGCATGGCAGGTTTCTCGTTCATCAAGGGCATGGCAGGTGCCTCGTTCATCAAGGGCAAGGCAGGTGCCTCGTTCATCAAGGGCAAGGCAGGTGCCTCGTTCATCAAGAGCAAGGCAGGTGCTCATGCATCTAGGGCATGGCAGTTGCCTTGTTCATAAAGGGCATGGCAGGTTTATCGTTCATCAAGGGCATGGCAGGTGCCTCGTTCATCAAGGGCATGGCAGGTGCCTCGTTCATCAAGGGCATGGCAGGTGCCTCGTTCATCAAGGGCAAGGCAGGTGCCTCGTGCATCAAGGGCATGGCAGGTGCCTCGTTCATCAAGGGCAAGGCAGGTGCCTCGTTCATCAAGGGCATGGCAGGTGCCTCGTTCATCAAGGGCAAGGCAGGTGCTTCGTTCATCAAGGACAAGGCAGGTGGCTCGTTCATCAAGGGCATGGCAGGTGCCTCGTTCATCAAGGGCAAGGCAGGTGCCTCGTTCATCAAGGGAATGGCAGGTGCCTCGTGCATCAAGGGCATTGCAGGTGCCTCGTTCATCAAGGGCAAGGAAGGTGCCTCGTTCATCAAGGGCAAGGCAGGTGCCTCGTTCATCAAAGGCATGGCAGGTGACTTGTTCATCAAGGGCAAGGCAGGTGCCTCGTTCATCAAGGGCATGGCAGGTACATCGTGCATCAAGGGCAAGGCAGGTGCCTTGTTCATCAAGGGCATGGCAGGTGCCTCGATCATCAAGGGCAAGGAAGGTGCCTCGTTGATCAAGGGCAAGGCAGGTGCCTCATGCATCAAGGGCATGGCAGGTGCCTTGTTCATAAAGGGCAAGGCAGGTGCCTCGTTCATCAAGGGCATGGCAGGTGCCTCGTGCATCAAGGGCATGGCAGGTGCCTCGTTCATCAAGGGTAAGTAAGGTGCCTCGTGCATCAAGGGCATGGTAGGTGCCTCGTTCATCAAGGGCAAGGCAGGTGCCTCGTTCATCAAGGGCAAGGCTGTTGCCTCGTTCATCAAGGGCATGGCAGGTGCCTCGTTCATCAAGGGCAAGGCAGGTGTCTCGTGCATCAAGGGCATGGCAGGTGCCTCGTTCATAAAGGGCATGGCAGGTGCCTCGTTCATCAAGGGCAAGGCTGTTGCCTCGTTCATCAAGGGCAAGGCAGGTGCCTCGTGCATAAAGGGCATGGCAGGTGCCTCGTTCATCAAGGGCATGGCAGGTTCCTCGTTCATCAAGGGCATGGCAGGTGCCTCGTGCATCAAGGGCAAGGCAGGTGCCTCGTGCATCAAGGGCAGGGCAGGTGCCTCGTTCATCAAGGGCATGGCAGGTGCCTCGTTCATCAAGGGCATGGCAGGTGCCTCGTTCATCAAGGGCAAGGCAGGTGCCTCGTTCATCAAGGGCAAGGCAGGTGCCTCGTGCATCAAGGGCATGGCAGGTGCCTCGTTCATCAAGGGCAAGGCAGGTGCCTCGTTCATCAAGGGCAAGGCTGTTGCCTCGTTCATCAAGGGCATGGCAGGTGCCTCGTTCATCAAGGGCAAGGCAGGTGCCTCGTTCATCAATGGTAAGGCAGGTGCCTCGTGCATCAAGGGCAAGGCTGTTGCCTCGTTCATCAAGGGCATGGCAGGTGCCTCGTGCATCAAGGGCAAGGCAGGTGCCTCGTTCATCAAGGGCATGGCAGGTGCCTCGTGCATCAAGGGCATGGCAGGTGCCTCGTTCATCAAGGGCATGGCAGGTGCCTCGTTCATCAAGGGCATAGCAGGTGCCTCGTTCATCAAGGGTAAGGCAGGTGCCTCGTGCATCAAGGGCATGGCAGGTGCCTCGTGCATCAAGGGCATGGCAGGTGCCTCGTTCATCAAGGGCAAGGCAAGTGCCTCGTTCATCAAGGGCTAGGCAGGTGTCTCGTGCATCAAGAGCATGGCAGGTGCCTCGTTCATCAAGGGCATGGCAGGTGCCTTGTTCATCAAGGGCAAGGCTGTTGCCTCGTTCATCAAGGGCAAGGCAGGTGCCTCGTTCATCAAGGGCAAGGCAGGTGCCTCGTTCATCAAGGGCAAGGCAGGTGCCTCGTGCATCAAGGGCATGGCAGGTGCCTCGTTCATCAAGGGCATGGCAGGTGCCTCGTTCATCAAGGGCATGGCAGGTGCCTCGTGCATCAAGGGCAAGGCAGGTGCCTTGTGCATCAAGGGAAGGGCAGGTGCCTCGTTCATCAAGGGCATGGCAGGTGCCTCGTTCATCAAGGGCATGGCAGGTGCCTCGTTCATCAAGGGTAAGGCAGGTGCCTCGTGCATCAAGGGCATGGTAGGTGCCTCGTTCATCAAGGGCAAAGCAGGTGCCTCGTTCATCAAGGGCAAGGCTGTTGCCTCGTTCATCAAGGGCATGGCAGGTGCCTCGTTCATCAAGGGCAAGGCAGGTGTTTCGTGCATCAAGGGCATGGCAGGTGCCTCGTTCATAAAGGGCACGGCAGGTGCCTCGTTCATCAAGGGCAAGGCTGTTGCCTCGTTCATCAAGGGCAAGGCAGGTGCCTCGTGCATAAAGGACATGGCAGGTGCCTCGTTCATCAAGGGCATGGCAGGTTCCTCGTTCATCAAGGGCATGGCAGGTGCCTCGTGCATCAAGGGCAAGGCAGGTGCCTCGTGCATCAAGGGCAGGGCAGGTGCCTCGTTCATCAAGGGCATGGCAGGTGCCTCGTTCATCAAGGGCATGGCAGGTGCCTCGTTCATCAAGGGCAAGGCAGGTGCCTCGTGCATCAAGGGCATGGCAGGTGCCTCGTTCATCAAGGGCAATGCTGTTGCCTCTTTCATCAAGGGCATGGCAGGTGCCTCGTTCATCAAGGGCAAGGCAGGTGCCTCGTTCATCAAGGGTAAGGCAGGTGCCTCGTGCATCAAGGGCAAGGCTGTTGCCTCGTTCATCAAGGGCATGGCAGGTGCCTCGTGCATCAAGGGCATGGCAGGTGCCTCGTGCATCAAGGGCAAGGCAGGTGCCTCGTTCATCAAGGGCATGGCAGGTGCCTCGTGCATCAAGGGCATGGCAGGTGCCTCGTGCATCAAGGGCATGGCAGGTGCCTCGTTCATCAAGGGCATGGCAGGTGCCTCGTTCATCAAGGGCATAGCAGGTGCCTCGTTCATCAAGGGTAAGGCAGGTGCCTCGTGCATCAAGGGCATGGCAGGTGCCTCGTTCATCAAGGGCAAGGCAAGTGCCTCGTTCATCAAGGGCAGGGCAGGTGCCTCGTGCATAAAGGGCATGGCAGGTTCCTCATTCATCAAGGGCATGGCAGGTTCCTCGTTCATCAAGGGCATGGCAGGTGCCTCGTGCATCAAGGGCAAGGCAGGTGCCTCGTGCATCAAGGGCAGGGCAGGTGCCTCGTTCATCAAGGGCATGGCAGGTGCCTCGTTCATCAAGGGCATGGCAGGTGCCTCGTTCATCAAGGGCAAGGCAGGTGCCTCGTGCATCAAGGGCATGGCAGGTGCCTCGTTCATCAAGTGAATGGCAGGTGCCTCGTGCATCAAGGGCATGGCAGGTGCCTCGTTCATCAAGGGCATGGCAGGTGCCTCGTTCATCAAGTGCATGGCAGGTGCCTCGTGCATCAAGGGCATGGCAGGTGCCTCGTGCATCAAGGGCATGGCAGGTGCCTCGTTCATCAAGGGCATGGCAGGTGCCTCGTTCATCAAGTGCATGGCAGGTACCTCGTGCATCAAGGGCAAGGCAGGTGCCTTGTTCATCAAGGGCATGGCAGGTGCCTCGTTCATCAAGTGCATGGCAGGTGCCTCGTGCATCAAGGGCAAGGCAGGTGCCTCGTGCATCAAGGGCAAGGCAGGTGCCTCGTGCATCAAGGGCAAGGCAGGTGCCTTGTTCATCAAGGGCAGGGCAGGTACCTCGTTCATCAAGTGCATGGCAGGTGCCTCGTGCATCAAGGGCATGGCAGGTGCCTCGTTCATCAAGTGCATGGCAGGTGCCTCGTGCATCAAGGGCATGGCAGGTGCCTCGTTCATCAAGGGCATGGCAGGTACCTCGTTCATCCAGGGCATGGCAGGTACCTCGTGCATCAAGGGCAAGGCAGGTGCCTCGTTCATCAAGGGCATGGCAGGTGCCTCGTGCATCAAGGGCATGGCAGGTGCCTCGTTCATCAAGGGCATGGCAGGTACCTCGTGCATCAAGGGCATGGCAGATACCTCGTGCATCAAGGGCAAGGCAGGTGCCTTGTTCATCAAGGGCATGGCAGGTGCCTCGTTCATCAAGGGCATGGCAGGTGCCTCGTGCATCAAGGGCAAGGCAGGTGCCTCGTTCATCAAAGGCATGGCAGGTGCCTCGTTCATCAAGGGCATGGCAGGTGCCTCGTGCATCAAGGGCATGGCAGGTGCCTCGTTCATCAAGGGCAAGGCAGGTGCCTCGTTCATCAAGAGCATGGCAGGTGCCTCGTTCATCAAGGGCATGGCAGGTGCCTCGTTCATCAAGGGCAAGGCAGGTGCCTCGTTCATCAAGGGCAAGGCAGGTGCCTCGTTCATCAAGGGCAAGGCAGGTGCCTCATTCATCAAGGGCAAGGCAGGTGCCTCGTTCATCAAGGGCAAGGCAGGTGCCTCGTTCATCAAGAGCATGGCAGGTGCCTCGTGCATCAAGGGCAAGGCAGGTGCCTCGTTCATCAAGGGCATGGCAGATGCCTCGTGCATCAAGGGCAAGGCAGGTGCCTCGTGCATCAAGGGAAGGGCAGGTGCCTCGTTCATCAAGGGCATGGCAGGTGCCTCGTTCATCAAGGGCATGGCAGGTGCCTCGTTCATCAAGGGTAAGGCAGGTGCCTCGTGCATCAAGGGCATGGTAGGTGCCTCGTTCATCAAGGGCAAAGCAGGTGCCTCGTTCATCAAGGGCAAGGCTGTTGCCTCGTTCATCAAGGGCATGGCAGGTGCCTCGTTCATCAAGGGCAAGGCAGGTGTCTCGTGCATCAAGGGCATGGCAGGTGCCTCGTTCATAAAGGGCACGGCAGGTGCCTCGTTCATCAAGGGCAAGGCTGTTGCCTCGTTCATCAAGGGCCAGGCAGGTGCCTCGTGCATAAAGGACATGGCAGGTGCCTCGTTCATCAAGGGCATGGCAGGTTCCTCGTTCATCAAGGGCATAGCAGGTGCCTCGTGCATCAAGGGCAAGGCAGGTGCCTCGTGCATCAAGGGCAGGGCAGGTGCCTCGTTCATCAAGGGCATGGCAGGTGCCTCGTTCATCAAGGGCATGGCAGGTGCCTCGTTCATCAAGGGCAAGGCAGGTGCCTCGTGCATCAAGGGCATGGCAGGTGCCTCGTTCATCAAGGGCAAGGCTGTTGCCTCTTTCATCAAGGGCATGGCAGGTGCCTCGTTCATCAAGGGCAAGGCAGGTGCCTCGTTCATCAAGGGTAAGGCAGGTGCCTCGTGCATCAAGGGCAAGGCTGTTGCCTCGTTCATCAAGGGCATGGCAGGTGCCTCGTGCATCAAGGGCATGGCAGGTGCCTCGTGCATCAAGG